GGAGAAAAGGGGGAGAAAGAAACAATACAGATTTTACCATCAGGGCCGGATTAAAGGGGCCGCGGCCCATGGCGGCAAATTTAGGGGGTGGTAAATTTTGCAATTTTTTTTAATGTAGGCATAAAGAAAAATCGGATTCAGAGAAAAAATTACAAACGGGAAAATATTACAAAATCTCTCATTTCCATATATCTCGACCATATCTCTTTTGCATATATCTCTAATTTTGTCTTCTTTCTGTGAAACAATAGACGACACCTTTTAATTAGTCGAGTTGAGACTAAGAGAGAAACCGAACATGAGAACTTGAGATGAAAAGGAGAAACCCGCGGTGCGGCGTACACATGTAACACATAATAGCGCCTACAAGACTGCATGAATACTTCACGCATTGCGTCAAACACAGTGCGTGCAGCAGCGGTCAGCGTGAAACGCATAGCGCATACAAGACTGTAGGAGTACTTCACGTATTGCGCCAAACACAGTGCGGTCAGCGCGGCGGCGGAAGTTAAATTTTTTGAACTATAATTATGTTTGCTCTATCATAATTTGTTCGTTCATTTCATATGAATGGAAGGCCTTGTCCACATTGAGATAGGTTTACGGAATTACTTAATTTTCGCGCCAAGTTCCGTAAACTTTTGCTAGTAGTGTTGACAGGGCTTTCGCAAAAAATGTGTCCAACACGAGTAAATGCGTCTTATGCACCCCTCCTCCAGCACGTTCACTTGATGGTTTTTATAGATGTTTCAAAACGAATGAGAAGGGGGCGGCAAAATACAGGCGGCCCATATGGGCGGCAAGTAAGTAAATCCGGCCCTGTTTACCATGTGTTCCCATTTTATGCAGCAAATATTCTAAGAATATTCATGGAATCATTATGACCCCCTCTCCAAAATAAGAGCTCCCAGCTCCCTCCAAGAATGGTTAATCGCTCCTAAGGAATGAAATAAATTTCTTCAATCACAGAAAAATGGCTCTTAAAAGTAAGAACTTATTCCCTAGTATAAATAACAGTTCCATATCTTCAAAAATAATACTGATACTCTAGAATCGAGGATACATATGCGAATACTCTCAGCATATTTTGTGCTATCTGGGATGCTACGTGCTCGCGTATTCATACAGCAGGGACCTGCAGTAGAGGAGCTGTTGACGTTCGAACGTTTCGTGAGATTTAAACTCTACGATGATGAGGGTATAGCCCGGGAGTGTGAATGTGCAGACGATACTTCACGAGGATTTCAATTGAAGCTCCGGTTTTTCAATTTTTGCAAGCACGTCATTTCATAAAAAATAGCACACGTTCTAAAGGCCCACACACATTTCAATCGCGCAGCGAGGAAATTTCATCCTAACTGTTGCAGGTTGTAGATGAGAGACTGCTTGTTCAAGTACTTTGCCATCACGTACTAGTGATTAGCAGCAGCAGTCTGAAGGTCAGGTTCACGTTCAAACGCTGACTCGCCAAAAAATTGCTTTGTTGTTACGTTTGAGAAAAATAAGATTGAAAGGTATGTATACGGAATCGGATCCATTTCAATAATGGTATTTCACGGATTAAGGTGTCTTTAAAGCGAAATATTTTTGTGTTTTCATGAGCACAATGAGATGCAATTGGACGTATTTCTATCAAACGGACCTAAGCGCCATAGGGTGAGGAAGGTAGAGAGGGCTTGGATTGGCGGCGGAATAGGGCGTCCGGCTGATTCCGTCCTATACTCGCAATGCTTTTCCATGGCGCTTAGGCCCGTTTGACAGAACGCGCTATCCGGGATACTTTCTCAAAAGGAACTCAAATTGACGCTTAGTTCCTTTTGATAGAAATACGTCCAATTCTTATTGAGTCCATACTAGGTTATCCAAAAGTTGTTTACCACGACCAAAGTTTCCTTATTGATGAGATAGAAATTTGAGACTTTTGGGATGTACCTAGGTCTGAAGTAGTAACTTTTAGGTCCCTGCAGATTTAGGAGGGGGGGGTCCACAGCCCCTCCTAGAGGGGGTGGAGAGCAACTTTCCTTCTCATGTAGATCTTCTTCCCTTTCCTCTCCTCTAACCTCGGAAGCCCCTCTTTTTCCCGCACCCAGAATTCACCACCTAGGCTGCAGGCTCCTTGACATAACCATCCCCCTATGTCGCAATCCCGCATCTAAACTCTGCGTGCAAAAGATAACTTAATAATAATTTGAATACAAGTGGGAGTCGCTGCGCTGGTTCTCCGTCAATTCACTCAGCCTCTACTTCTACCAGCTAAAACTAAGGGCAGCTATATTGCGATAACTTGCCTTTGATTACCGAAATGAGAGCGCAAGAGCGCCGAGCGGACCAGGCTCGGAGGTTGCATACGCACTTAAGTGAAGGCGCATTATACCTTGTAACTTAGAAAACGCGAAATCAATTAATTTATTATTTTATATTCACCGTTTGACTGCAATTAAGGTTTTAAATTGGGGAGGGGGATAAGTTTTAATCGCTGATGCCAAAAACACCTATCGTTTCTCCGTCCCGCGAGAGTCCTTAGTTCCAAAAAGACGTATCTCCGTAGCTCTGCCATATTTCGTAAATGGTAATATTACTATGCAAAAGAGTCAAGGGGCTCAAAAAGTATCCTTATCGTGACATTTTCGTTAAGTTTTAAGTATGCATAGAGATTTTACGAATTGATAGATGGATTTTAGCATCGACAACCTTGAATTCGCCTTCAATTTCGTCCTTAGGCAACAATCCTAGCAAGGTGCGCAATCTCGCCCTATGCTTTTCTTTAACCGGTGCCCGGTGCCAGTGGATGGTGTGTGTTAACCAGAGCCGGATTTACATTTTTTGCGCCCTAGGCTAAACCTAGGGTGGTGCCCCTAAAAGTAAGCGCTCTTGTGGGGGGGGGGGTCCCAGATGCCCCTCCCCTCCAGATCAGAGGGAGGATGTTAGGTGTTAGGTGTCAGGAAAATGTTGACCTTTGATGACAACACAAATGACATTTTTTAATAAGTCACGGTTTTTTAATAAATTCTCAAAACTGTTGCGCCCCTCAGAATGCTGCGCCCTATAGGCTATAGCCTACGTAGCCTATTGGTAAATCCGGCCGTGGTGTTAACCTCCTCGAGGATTAATTTCCCATTAAAGTTCGCCTTGAATGCAGTTGAATTGGCAGCAAAGCAACCAGGGAACACAAAATTATCTAATTGAAATGTATAATATGTTCATCTCACCCCGAGAGCATAACAACAACCCGGAGGAATAACAACAATTTGGCACTGCCAGATTGCGAAAGTCCTAATGACATTTCCTCTTCCTTCTTTTTGACATGAATGAACTGTGTCTTTGCTGCGGGTGTTGGTGTTTTTAAAAACTTAAGTGGTGAAAAATTACAATCGCGGTTCAATATAACGAAGAAGGATCGAAAACCGTCGGATTGTGAGATGGTCGATGGCAGGGGTACTTACCCCGGAACCTGCGGAATGTTCCAAGCCTCCCCTCAAATTTGATCAACCTTCCCCCATTTTTAACGAAAATGGAGGGGCCTTGGCGGACAAGGTGCATAAGTACAGTTTTTGCAATTTCGAGAAATTTGTGTTTGAAGTTTCGAAATTACATTGATCCTCATGGCGGAAAGAAAGTTCAAACTGACTTTTTCATGCGTAAAAATTGGCATTTGGGATTCACAGAATGTGCATTAAGTCAAGTTTCACTCGAAATCATAAATAGGTATCTCAATTTTTTTCAAAAATTGCACTTATGCGCCTTGTCCTCCAAGCTACCAATTCATAGTCGGTTTCCCGGACGACACCCTGGTAAAAATTGGCAGTAGAATCTGTGTTCCAAAATACCATAGACCTACGGCCGGCTGTAAGATTCCCAATAGTTTCTATAGCCGGCTACACAATTTCTTATAGCCTTTTATAGCCGATGGCGATTAAACAACTCACAGCCAGGCGATAGAGTGTATGCTAAACGTCATTAATTACGGATGCCAGGACTTAGTGAGTTTTTGGACCGCTGCTCTCTTTTTGGGCCGTAGTATCTTGATTTATTTTGCGAGGGAAGCTCCGTACTTTTGATGGATGCCTGGCATTCCTAATATATTAGAGCGTCTTCAATTTCGTATGATACTGTGCAATACCTCTGGTGGTGAAATAGTTGCTTCAAGCGCTGTGGCACGCTGCGCTGCGGTGCGGCAGGCGGGCAGCCAGCGCGGAACGCGCATTGGCGCCTACAAACCTAACAGGGATACTTCACGCGTTGCGCAATGCGTGAAGTAACCCTGTTAGGTTTGTAGGCGCCACGCCAGCCAGTGCGTCGCCGCTCCGCTTTGTGTTGGGCTCTAATATTTAATCTGGCGGAGTCAGCGTTATTCAACTCATGATTTTGAAATGTTTGTACACTCTGTATGGACGACTATTCTCATTTTAATTGATGAAAAACAATATGTATTAAAGGAAAATATAACGTGTGTTTTGTAAATACACGAATTTCTACACAATTTCTTATAGCAATTTATAATCGATGGCGACAAAGCAACAGCCAAGCGATAAAGTGTAAAGCCCGGCTATAGGAACTATAGCCCGGCTGCATAATTTTTTATCGCTTCGTATAGCCCGGCCGTGTGATTTTCTCCGCATTCTACAGCCAGCTATATGATTTTCGGTAGCCTTCTTTAGCCGGCTATGAGAATACATATGGTATTTTGAAACGCAGCTCTTATCGCCAATTTTTACCAGGGATATCGACGGCGTAAGTCCGCAACTACGTACCTAGTTTGCGTTGTTTGAAAATCTCCGCCTTTGTAATATTTTTTTAAAGGAAAACAAATAAACATCTCTCCTTGGAGTTTTTGCAGAATTTTTTTCGCGCAGAGAAAAAAAAAATCACGGCAGTTTTAAAGAATTGCCGTTGAGTAGTTTTCCGTTTGAAAAATTTAGTATGGCAGGAGGTCTGCGACGCGACGTTAAAAACCGAGATACGTGGTTCCGGACTTACACCGCCGACACAAAAACCTTATTAGTTACGAAATCGAGCTTTATAACCACTTAAAACGCCGTATTTCCTTGCGGAGTTCCCTCGCTCTTCCCATTCAAGCGCGGGAATTCCCCCATTTCATGCGACCAGCTCAGGCACTCTCGGCCAAGGCCGGTTGCGTGGTCTGGAAGTTCCTGCATCCATAGAATACGTCATCACGAACCTAGATATTTCTTCTAAACCATAAAAAAATATTTTTTTCCATTTTTTTAACTTTTCGAAGTGTGTTTTTTCGAAATGACGAAACTGCCAGTCACTTAGGCCTTGTCTCCACGGGACGTTTTCATGGGATTTGTCCCAAGTTCGAATCGCAGGAATGAAACTTCTGGGATTTTCCCAGTTACCGTCTCCACGGGACGGGGCTCATACAGTCCTGCGACTAGTTTTCGCGGGAAGATAAATTGGTTAAAGTCGAGTATTTAACCGGGATTGAAATAATAATTGCACTCAATTGACAATTAGACACATTATTTTAACTAAACAAACATTACTTAACAATGTAGTAATGAATAAAATATAGCACAATTCGTTTTCACTTCTTCTTCTTCTCTCAGTGGGTCCTAGGGGTACAAGTACCATACTTGGTACTGGGAAAAATATTGATTAACTCAATATTTTTCCCAACTTCGTAAGTGAGATTTTTCCCTGGGACAAATCTCGTGAAGCGGCTCGTGGAGACAAGGCCTTACTTTTGCGTGTGGTTTGCTCGCAGGTGACTCAAACGCACAATTTTGCCCTCTCAGTGACTACAGTGTGTAATTTTCAAAAATATTATTTTGAACTAATTATGACTTAATGCCAGCACTCAGGGAACTATGCACCGGACATGTTTCGAAAAAAAAAAAAACTTGGTTTTTGGTTCGGCCCTTTAGCCCACGGATATGGTCACCTAGCAAATCCTCCTACAGAAACTTGTGGCTGGAGGGGGGTGGGAGCATAGTTCGCAGAAATCATAATGCCCCAATTGTTTCTACATTTTGAGAACAAAAATAATGAAATATGATTTTTTTCCCTCTCTCTCACAAGCTACGACAAAGTTTTCTAACCCCCCCCCCCCCCCCCCC